AGGGTCAAAAGTCTACAATGGCTGATTTTCCACGTAGCGCTCCCAGTCAACGTTTGGTTGTATGAGCGCAGAGGTCACAATCAGAGGAATCAGATCAACCAGAAGTGCAATCTGTGTACTGATGAACAGACGGAAACCCTGCTTCACTGCCTGCTGCAATGCCCGGAGGCGGCATATGTGTGGGGAGTAGCCAGGGAACTGTGACGAAAGATTTCAGATGAGGCCTTTCTGGAAGATAGCAGGATCCTCCTCACTGGTATGGAACTTCCAAAGAAACGGCAGTTGGGACAGAAAAGAGCATTTCAACTTTTGAGACAATATACATTATGGACCATATGGAAAAGAAGATGTCAGATGACAATAGGAAGGGGGCAAATGCACAGACTGGAGGCCAAGAAAATTCTACATGTTGGAGACGGATATTACGGCACAACGGCAAAGAGCAAGAAGACAAGCCCAACAAAATCCGGAGAAAGCCCGGGAGACGTTCAAAACGTTTCAAAGGGTTACGTTGGTTAAGGGTAAGATAGCAACAATCGAAGGATCCAGAGTCGTCTTTCACTGGTTTGAGAATACGGAGCAACGTGAGCAAGAATAGTGCGTCAGATTCCCTGAGGTAGTACACCAAAATTATGCCAGCATTGAAACTGAGGGTTTAGGGTTCAGGGTTTAAGGTTTACACACGAGCAATGCAAATAGGGCTTGGGGTGTTGGGGATTTCGAGAGGGGTCCCAGGAGACTCTAGTTAGAACACAATTATCTGGCAGTTATAAAACTGAGAGGAGTCCAACTGGGATCACAGGGATGATGGAAGCAGTAAAAACTCGGGCATAATTATGCAGGGGTGAGGGATGGTACATCCTTCCGTATGGAAGCAATCAATGCTGTCTACTCGGGCCTCCCAGCCATAATGGGGAGGAGCGTGTGTGAGTTTCTCATGTATATATTATTGACTTGCCAGGGGAAAGGAACCGGACTGTCGTTCCCCAGAATGGTAGGAGCCAGAACCATAAGGTTCTGTTTAAAAAAAAAGAAAAAAAAAAAGAAAAGAAAGAAAAGAAAGGGAATACATGAAAGTTGATGAAACCTGTTTCATTTTTTTCAGTTTTTTAACGGACGTTCCAAAGGACGGAAACCTGATTGTATTCAACAGGACTTGTTCTATTGATCTGGTGTACCATTCAACCACAAGGGGCAAGTACAGGGGCACAATTGAAATTTGACATTGCGGGATAGAATTAGACCTTGACTTGGGACTTTTGCCTGATGCCCTCCTTGGTTGCAGTCTGAAGAAGAAATTAACAGCCTTTGCGAACGGCTGAAAACAGAGGAGCACAGATGCCGATACCTTGCACAAACAATTATTGACGTCCTCCCAATCATCGAATATGCTGCACAGCAAAGACCGCTTCCATTTGAGGTAATGTTTGAGATTATGATGTATGAAGCTGGCTTGCAAATCTTCTCATTTGCATCTTCTTATCTCAATTGTGTCCGTCTGTCTGGCAGTCTGTGCGTCCGTCAAGCATGGGTTGCCCACCCGTCCGCCTGTCTCCCCATCAGCCTGGCTGGTTGGCTGCCTGCCTGCCTGCCTGTGGCTTCAGCTGAAATGTCACTTTCTCTGCATCTGCAAAGATAATAATGAGGTTGAGATGGTCATTCTTTTATGTCGAACTAAAAAATTTGATGCTCTCTTGACCCTCAAGAGAAAGAGAAGGATAAGGGTGAAGTCTCTCTTTCTATCCGAGGGTTGCTGCTGGGCATCTGCTTCCTTCCTTGTGTTACGATCCTGGTCACTTCCGAAGTGCAAATTCACAAGGAAAGACAATGCCACCCAATTGTGGAGAAATGAAGGCACTTGCAAAGAGATAAGAGTCCAAAGAAGAGAGAAAGAAGACGAAGAAGAGGACATCCGTTAAAATTGGAATGATACAGAGAAGATTAGCATGACCACTGCGCAAGGATGACACACATAAATCGAGAAATGGTCCAAATTTTGTGAAAGAAGAAGAAGAAGAAGAAGATGTACACCAGCAAGACAAATGACATATCCCCCCTTCTCTCTCTAGCTTCCTCCTCCTCGACTTTATTCTTCTTCCAATAATAATAATAACAACGAGTGGATGAACCTGAATCAATATCTGAAGTTCCCTCTTACTGCTGACACAACAACAGGTCCACCATAGCCATGGCTTCCCCCCGTTCTTCCTCCTCTCACATTCCTAGGCTATGGCGGACTACTAAGGGCTCTGCCCTCAACACAAAGCAGCTATGTCGCTGCCCTCCTGTCCAAAGGACAACACAAAGCGTCTATGCCGCTGCTCACTAAGCCGCCATGCGTCAAGCTTCCTTGGTGTGGCACTACCCCAACTGGGGCCTTTCAGATGCAGCGCCTATCAAGGTGATGAAGATGGTGTCCACCGTAGCCAGGTAGGTACCTCGCCACTCTCCTCCTTCGCCCCCTTCTTCCTCCTCCTCAGGCTGGGATGCTCGCCATAGCCAGGCTGAGCGCCCAGCTCCTCTCCTCCGCCAGGCAGCGCTCCAAGTCCAGCGCTTGGCTCCAGCAGTATAACGCCAATCATTGCACACCGCAAATGAGGAGGAGCTGCTTGCTCCTCCCGAAGATATAGCGGCCTACTTGCCTCTTGGGCGGTGATTTCCTAGGCCGTGCGGCCTTCCAGCTTCCGGTACCTCCTCCCTTTCAGATTGAAACATCATTGCAGGCTCTGATATCGTCTGGACAGGTCCTTGACTCAGGCTACTTGGACTGGTACCGACCTACCTCTAGCCTACCTCTACTGGGCCTCTAAAAATGCCAACTTTTCTCTTCTTCTGCTCGGCCACCAGTACCCGACAGTTCTACCAGTACTTGAGTGGTACCGGCCTACCTGCTACTTGAGTGTTTTTCCCGCTGCCCTTAGTGTCGCAGGCCTACCCCTGCTGCTTGAGTGATTTTCCCGCCGCAACCCTCAAAAGTCACGACCACAGGTAAGTACCGGCCCTGCGGGGCCTCTCAACCAAGAAGTACCCTTGCGGGTCACATGCACACTCAGGCCGACAAGCACTCAGACAGGCATGCAGACCAGCAGGCACACACACACACACACACACTGACTTAGAAATCACAGCAGAATGCGGGAATCTCAACAAGGTATACATTCCAGCAACAAATCCTAGAAATCAGCAGTGTTCTCTGTCTGTGTTCTGGCGGGTCATTACACCATCCCCCTCTCAAGAGCGAGGTCCCTTTGAGTGAGTAAGAGTCGGCACAAAATGCATCGTAACCGTATATCAGAAAGAGAGTTTTGATATAACCGTGAGGAGTGAGTATTGCAGAAAACTTAGTAGTCTGTCCATCGATGATCTGTCGTTCATACCCGTAAACGACACGGGGAACATTCTTTAGCAGCTTTTTCCGGTCGATGTAGAACTCGTTCAACGGGCGGTAAAGGAAGGGAACTTTGTATTGTCTGTTGCTACCTCTTCCTTCATGGGACACAATTCTGTCTATTGCGTGGCCACCGTTGATCGCACGAGGTATCATAGGATCTCAGAAGGGAAAAGTCTCATCATTAATGTGGGGTAACAGTTTGGATGTGTGGAAGACCGGATACGTACGCAGATGATGTGGTATGTCGATCGCTTATGGAGGACCAAATTTGTCATCTCCTACCACCTTCAGAACCTGCCAAGGACCATAGTACTATGGAAGATGCTTTCGTGATAGTCCCTATTCTTTGGAAAATTCGAACATTTTGATCCATACATAACTTCCTACTTGGAAATTCCCTGCCTTTCGCGACTTGTTAGCGTGTTTGATCATGGCATGGTGGCGCTTGTTCATTGATGCGATAGCAACTTTGAGCAGGCACACATACTTGGCATTGTAGCCAGGCATTCCAGGCGTCAGACCAGGTGACCGATCGGGGAACAGATAGGAGGGAGGATTGCGCAGCTGCCAACCGTATTACAGCTGATTCGGTGTCATGCCAGTTGCGGAGTGAATGGAGTTGCTGTACAATCCCTTCACTGTGTGTAACTTGTCCCAGATGTTCTGACAGGGAATTAATGTCGTAGATTTGAGAGGTGAAGTCCTTCCAATCAGTACTAATGAACCTGGTGTCCCGATCGCTCACAAAAGTTTTCGGGGGTCCATACTGCAGAATGTACTGCTGGTGAAATTCTTCGATCACGAGCTTAATTGGTGCATGAGGTAAAGGAATAAAATTCAGAAATTTGGAAAAATGATCCACGATGACCATCACTTGTGAATGCCCTCCCTCACTCACCTTTCCCATGTTTGTGAAATCAATGGAAACCGACTCACCGGGTCCATTAGGAATGGGGAGGGGTTTCAGCAGGCCATAAGGCTTATGCCTATGGACCTTGGTTCTTTGACAGACTTGATTTTCAGCCATAAACTTCTGAGCGGATCCCTTCATTCCCGGTCAATCAAACTACTACAAAAGACTTCCATAAGTCTTCTCGAAGCCGAAGTGTCCATTTCGACCATTTGCCAAATCCAGCAAATGAGTCCGGAGAGGCCCATGGTTGGGTACACACAAACGATCAAACGTTCCATACCGTCGGAATACAAGACCCTCGCACTTGTGAAAATCAGGCTGGCTGCTAGGGTCAGCGTTGATCTGCTAAAGGATGGGGCTAAGCTCCGGATCCTTGGAATTTTTTCGACGAGATTTTCCTTCATTTTCCTTCAGAGGTCATATGAGCTCACAAGGCAAGTCAAAAACTCAAGATGCTGCGACAAACAATCACTGACACGATTATATCAGCCTTTCTCGTGTTTCAGTTTATGCAGCCAGCAAGTTAGCGTCGGAGAGAGATCAGTTTGCGTTTTGAAGCACTGCAAGGTCTGATGATCTGGGTAAACATTGAAGTTACGACCCAAGAGGTAGTGCTTCCAATGCGTGAGCACCTCTCGCAAGTTATAGAGTTCACACATATATGTGGAGGTAGCTACCTTGTGGCTGCACATGCGTTTGCTGTAATACTTGAGCAGACGCAGACCATCGCCATCATCTTGTTGCAGCACTGTGCCAATCCCACACTGGCTCGCGTCCGTAGTGACCACGAACGTGAGGTTGGGATCCGCAATGCGGAGCACAAAGTGACTTACCAAAGTCTCTTTCAAGGCTTAAAACGCAGTCTTGCATTTCTCACAACACGCATAAGTAACATTTTTGCTTGTCAGTCTCTAGAGTGGGCGAGCACTGAGATTTTAGGTACAAACTTCCCGTAATACGAAGCCAAACCAAGAAAGGAACGCAGTTCGCGTACGTTCGTTGGTTGAGGCCACTTTCGTATGACCTCGACCTCGGTTGCCTCAGGCTCAAGGCCGTTTGTGGGCAACCGGTGCCCAAGATAGACGACGCTGTCCCTTCCAAACTCATATTTCTCTAAGTTGAGGTGCAACTGTGCCTGCTTGAGAATCTGCAACACTTCCTCAAGGTGCTTAACGTGCTCTTCCATGAACTTGCTAAAAATCAAGATGTCATCAAGGTAAACGACAACAAACCTGTTGAGCTGACGGCGGAGAACCTTGTCCATGAGGCACTGAAATGTGGCTGGTGCATTCGTGAGACCGAAGGGCATAACGATGAATTCGTATAATTTTGAACGCAATTTTGTGCTGGTCGTTCGGATCAAGGCAAGGGATAAACGTCCTTTGTAGTGATACGATTGAAGCCACGATAGTAGATACACATCTGAAGTTGCCTCCTTTCTTTGGCACAAACAGGACAGGTGCACCGAACTCAGACTCGCTAGGCGTAATCCATCCACGATCAATCATGTCGTCAATCTGTCTTTTCAAGTCCTGCAACTCGCCTTTCCCCATACGGTAGACGCAACCTTTTGGAGAAACACTCCCTTCTATTAGCTTGATCTTGTGTTTGACCGAATGCTGGGGATCTCCATGAGGTGCAGCCAGAACTTCAGGAAATTGATGTAGTAGATGGCGAATGTTTTTTGGGACTTCTGGTGGAGGAAGGAGAGAGGGAATCAGTTTGAGAATTTACAGCAATAACAACCGAATTTGAAGTAGTTGGATTAAAAGTGGACTTATCTTTTACAGCAGAAGTAGATGGAACAGAAGTAGACGTAGTAAATGCATAATTATTTTATGAGGTAGAAAATGCAGCTAAAGTAGAAGGTACATGGAGAGCCTTTACAAGGGCTACATGCATATGCTCACCTTCTTTGCGCGTGCGCACTGATCTGCAGAATTTGCTTGCACTCACTTGGATTCGTGTGTCTCATCCAACAAGATGGTACGCTCGTTCCCTTTGGTGTCACGCACCACGAACTGAGTATCCGCCCACGTGGCTCTTAGGCAATGGGCTTTTAACCAGCCCAAACCAATGACCGCGCCTAAGGTACACTTGTCGAGGACGTAGAAAT